AACATTCCACGAGACACCCCACGAACAGGCAACCACTCAACCAGACACGCCACGAAACATTCCGCGGGGGTGCGACTGGGTGTGGTCGTGCTGGGGTGTGGTCGTGCTGGGGTGTGGTCGTGCTGGGGAGTGGTCGTGCTGGGGTTTGGTCGTGCTGGGGGGTGGTCGTGCTGGGGGGTGGTCGTGCTGGGGGGGTGGTCGTGCTGGGGGGTGGTCGTGCTGGGGCGTGGTCGTGCTGGGGCGTGGTCGTGCTGGGGCGTGGTCGTGCTGGGGCGTGGTCGTGCTGTGGTGAGGTCGTGCTGGGGTGTGGTCGTGCTGGGGTGTGGTCTTGCTGGGGTAGGGTCGTGCTGGGGTCGGGTCGTGCTGGGGTGTGGTCGTGCTGGGGTATGGTCGTGCTGGGGTGGGGTCGTGCTGGGGTGGGGTCGTGCTGGGGTCTGGTCGTGCTGGGGTGTGGTCGTGCTGGGGTATGGTCGTGCTAGGGTGGGGGCGTGCATTTCTCTCGAGACATCCTGCCAAAATTCCAGGAAATCGTACAAAAACAAACGAATTAGTCGAGACATCATCGAAATTCCTTTGCGCGGGGCGCTTTTCCGCGTCGCGGTCGGCTCTGCAAAACAAGCGTTTCGCTCGAGACATCCTCGGCAAACTCTGCGGAGCAAGCGTTTCGCTCGAGACATCCTCAACACACGAAAAAGTGGCCCGCACCCTGTGATTTATCGATCGGGATTTCAAAAACAAGCGTTTCGCTCGAGACATCCTCAAATTTTAATCCGCCGGCCTCCTTCGACCTCGATATTTATCAGGGAAAAAATCCGCCGGCCTCCTTCAAGTTGGCACCGGGGGACATGTTTACATAGTAAAAGAGAACCCTGGGCCCCCGCCCTTTCCGGGAAAAAATGCGCGGCGCCAGGCGGGGGCTGACGCGGCGCGCGCCCACAGGCGCAGCGCGGCGGCCCCGCCATCTGCACGAGCCCGGGTACTGGACCACGAACGGGCCCACGGGCACGATGAACATACTAGCCAGCGCCACACGCAGCCAGCTGCTCCCCCTTAGGAGCTCTCCCCGAGGGTAGGGGGGACGGGGTACTGACCTCCCGTGGAGCGTACTCACCCTGCTTCCCGTTAGGAGCTCTCAGCGAAACGAGGAGGCGTGCTCACGCTGGCTGCCAGGCTGCGAGTCCCGCACCATGAGCTACTCCAGGAAGGCGCCCCCGCTTCCAGCAGCACCCAAAAGTCATGGGTGCGGGAGCGCCCGACGAAAGGATGCGGGAGCGCCCGACGAAATCATCCAGGAGGTCGAAAGGGTTCTGGGACAGGGCCCCTCGCCGCTCCAGCGCGGCCTCGGCCTCATGCAGCTCG